TGGTCCTCGCCTTGGCCTTGATCTCGTTCCTGTTCCTCTTGACCGTGTCCCTTGTCATCATGCTGAAGCTCCGACAGTCAGGGAGCCCCAAATTCCTGCAGTGCTTTGCTCCCGTCCCCCATTCAAATGGTGGCATATTTCCACCAAATTTTCAAGATGGGACTTTGCCTTATTCCTATCAGCTTTGTCTGTCTTCCGAGTCCAGGAAAAATGAGCTTACACTCCTGGCACCCAATATTCTGGTTGCAGATAATAGTTCTGTGGCTTTCCCAGCCAATGGGGAAAATAATTTAAATTCAGAAATGGAGAATGATGAGAAGGTAAGTTCAATTTTAACTATTTTAAAATAATCCCTTCCCAAATTTGAAATAAATCTACTAGCTTTTAATGTGTGATAATAGTCTCACAGACAGGACAGCACAAAAAGCAATTACAGTAGCACTGGTTGAAATTAAAAATCCAAAGGACAATTTCCTATCTTTTGAGCAATCCAGTTCTTGATCAGGCAAGAAGGAAGTGTGGGAGACCTGGGGGCCTCCTGAAGCCATATCTATCCCTGTTAGCACTCAGATGAATCTCTGCAGCCTCTTCTCACTTTCCATCCTAAGATGGAATGAAACAGCATCTCCCTACTTCAACAGCAGCCACTTCCCCCTCTTTGCCTCACAGCCCTTGGCTTCGTTTACCCTCCTAGCTAATGAAGAACTCTGCAGAGCTCCCAATTTGCAATGTATTTTGTGATCTTTGATTCATCCTCATAAAGACAGCATAGTGATGTGGATTTTGAAAGTGCTGTTCTGTCAAGAAGCACTTGTCCTTAACATTTGGATAACACTGTACACCACTTTTGACTGTATTTGGGGAAGGAAATTAAGTCAACACGTTTTCAGTGGCAGCTTTATACAATTTCTGATATGCTGAGATAATATATATAGGACTGTTTTATTTAGAATCACTGAGAGTGTGTACAAGTGATACCTCACTCTCAGCAAGCTATTTGACATTTCTCTGTTGAGAAGTACTTTTAGTGTTTCTTTGAGTGGGCCTTAAGAAGAGGTAATATGGAAGATTTATCTGTGGCAGTCATTCTAGAGGGACCTTCACAGATCCAGGTCTTCCCTGCTACCCCCTGTGAATTATTACCACATATGAACCTCAATGTTTGTGTGAACATTGTATTCAAGTAAACATGGCTTATTAGAACGACTTGCTTGTATTAACATTTTTGCTTGATGAAAACTTGTCTCATTTCATTGCTTTGCTTAGCTAAAAAAAACAATTACCGTTCCTGTTCTTAAGCTCATCCTGACTGGACAACTTTAGATATGGTGCCACCATTGGGATTTGAAGGTTCATATCCCATGCACCAACCAGACATGAATGGTTGGTTAGAAAAAGGGATCCTTCACCATACAGATGCCATAGAGTTGCTCATCAGAATATCTTCTATAGGGCTTCATCTCTGCCCATACAGGCCTGCCAGTTATGACCAATTGATGAAAATGTGCTCTCTCTCTCCCCATCATGCCCCCAAACAAAGGTACTTCTGTATGTTAATTGGGAGAAACACCTCAGATGTTACTTCACAACACCTTCAGTTGGATTAATCATAGGCATGAACCTATGATCATTAATTAGGACATGAAACATCCTTATGAGGTCCATATATTACTTTTTCCCGGAAAAAAGAAAGGGTGCATGATCTGCAAGTAAAGAGTTTCCAGAATCCAATGGTTATTCTGTGGCTGAACATTTCTTAAGACTGTGTTGATGATCATAATGATAATATAATGAATTCTTTAACTGCCTTGGAAAGTAGATTATTTTATTTATTGAGGCAATTTTAAGATTATTCTTGGAACCAACCAGAGGGGAGGCAATTCTAGTCCTAGGTGGGGTTGGTTGGGACCTAGTACAGCAGGGGTCCCAAACTCGTGGCCCACGGACCAATTGCCAGGACGGGCGGGGCACAGGGGAGGGGCCCTGCGGCCTTCAAAGCGCTGCCGGCGCCTGGGCTGGCCTCCGGGAGCGAGGTGGGATGAGCGGCCCACCACCACCGCAGTGGTGGAATACTTGATGCGGCCCAGCCTCACCCAGACTCTACTTCCAGCGGCCCCTAGGTAAGTTAAGTTTGAGACCCCTGTAGTACAGGATGTAAATGTTGAGTCAATAGGTGAAAGACAGCTAAAGAGGTTGAAAAGTTGTGTTTGACTTCAAAAGAAGAAGCTTCTCAAAAATGAGGGAACTGGTAAAGGAGAAGCTGAAGAGGGGAATCAAGAAATTTAAATTGCTTCAAATGCTTGGAGATTACTCAAAAACACTTTCTTGTTATTCCTTCTTATTGTCTCTTCTTTTTTATGTTTTATTTTTCTTTTGGCTGTTTTAATTTTTTCTGATTCTATAGTATTCATATTGTACTTCTATCATCTGTTTTACTGGGCTGTGTAAACTTCACAGAGCACTGGCTGTGGGGTAGTATATAAATGGAACAGATAATGTACATACCTCAGGTGAGGAAAGATAGCCCAAAGTCTAGAAAATAACGATTGGGACTATTTGGCTTAGAAAAAGGGTGAGTAAGGGAGAACATGATAGAGGTGTTTAAAATAGTGCATGGTGTGGAGAAAGTGGCAAGGAAAACATTTTTCACCCTCTCCCACAACACTCAAACCCAAAGAGGTCATCCCATGAAGCTGATTGGTGGGAGGTTTAGGACAGATAAAGGGAAATACTTCTTCACACAACATATAACTAAACAATAGAATTGGCTGCTGCAACAGGTGGTGACTGTCAATCTGGGTAGCTTTAAAAAGGGTTTGGAAAGATTCGTGTAGGGAGAAGCTATCAGTGGCTACTAGGCTTTCCGCATAGATGCTACCTCCTTTACTAGAGGTTTCATGTTTGCATACCCCAATTGCTGCTTGAGCAGCCAGAAGCCTTGTACCTATCCTGCTTAAGTGACTCCTGTGCACAGAGTGCCAAACCGGATGGACCTTTGGTTGGATCTAGCATGACTCTTTTATATTCTTATGCTCTTATACCTCACTAATAAAAGTCAATTGGATGAACAACAGTCAATCTTTCTTATCCAACCAATAAAGCAATTACAGCAATTGCACATAAAATGATATAGCATTAAATCTTTCCACTCTATCCTGTCAAATGCCTTTTTGGCAGGAAGAAAAAGAAGACTGAGATAATTTTATGCAATTAAATGTATTCTACATATTTATTTTTCTACTATTTCTTGATGTTATGAATACAGCTAGATCATAAGAAATATATTAACAATGATTTTGTTTATATTATATATGATTTATACATCATTATTTATAAAATAATGATTTTGTTTATATTATATTACCTTGAAGCCAATAGTCTTGTAATTATCTGATAATCATAAATACGCAATGTTACTGGTTGACATGAACCCTTTAATGTATTACATTTCCTGGATTTTTAACAATAATATTTTATTAACCATGTTTCAGGAATTGGATTATTACTATGTATCTTGGTTATTTCATTTGTTACTGGTTTTACAAGAATATCTGCAAATAAGTCATAAAATTCTGTTCCAGCTCCCACTGGTGCTTTGCTGGTTTTCTATGATTCAGAGTAGAGAAGAATTGTATGGATATGTAGTTCAAATGACAGAGGCCTCTAATATTGGAGCTCTCCATCCAGTTTGTGGTCCGCTGGGCTCTTGCTGGAAGGATGGGGCAAAAAGAGGCAACTGTTATTTCTCCTTCTTCTGTTTGGAACTATTTTGTCAGGCAGGCCTCCCAGTCCATCTAATGTGCTCTGTTTGATGCCCTCAGGACTGAGGGCTGAGTAGCCACTAGATCCAGTGGAGCCAAGATTCCCCTTCACCTTCCACTGGCCTGCAACCAACATATCCATTTCCTTCCTTGCTGGACTATCTTGGTAGAAGGCACTATCATGGAGTTTTCTGCAGTGGCTGGGAGGGGCTGAGTAGAAAACCCATAATCAGTTCTCCTCTGAGGTTGAAGCAGTGTCTCCAGCCTTAGAAAGGAAATCTACTGTATTCTATGGTCCTTCAGATGCCATCTCAAGATCACAATATTGCCATATTAATGGTGTCTGACATCTCTTGTTTCAAGATAGAAGCTTCATGAACATTCCATCCTCAGATAACATCCTATAAAATAATAATAGTTTGTTTCATTAGGCTCATATTAGTAGTGAATTCAATCTAACTCATGGACTCCATGTACCAATAAAATTGTAGTAAACAGGAAACCATATATATGCAACTGTTCTGGAGAAATATCAGAGCCAGCGAATTCTAAATTTCATAGATGGTGCCGTAATACCTTTAAAATGTGTTATTTCCTCAGGCATACTGCAGTTTTGATTCTCTTAATTAGCATCATCTGGACAGAAATGTTTTGGGAAATGCTTTTTAATTTTTCACATACAACTAACTTGTATTTGTAAATACGTAAACTGTTGTTTATGTTATACAACAAGCCTATGACAAAAAGGGTTTCCCTAGCTTGTTCGTGAAACTAAAGCAATATACGTTCAAAAGCAGTTACACATCATACTACAAGCTAATCAAACCATAAATTAAGACCAAAATCAAATATACCAATTTCCAGAAAGACTCTGTTTGCACTAACAACAGAGCTCTCCTATACATTGCCAGAACAATCCACTAATTCACTTTCAACAAATCATGTTAGATCTCCCTATAAGAGCTATCCAGTATAAAGTAACATACATACAAGGAGTACAGAGGGAGAGGATATGTTCAAAATGAAATCAAAAGTCCAAGTAACGCAGGTGAGAAGAGTAAAGGAAGCATATGTATCTCTCCTGTGAACTTACTCTGTGTTGATTTTTCAATTCCATGAATACATTATAGGAGAATTTGAACTGGATCAAAAACATAGCAGGGATCCCTGTATCCTTGCCTTAAGCATGCAATTTTAATTAATGTTTGGTGCATTTAAAAGAATTATGAAGGTATCGATGCTATTATATGTCTTCATTTGCAATAGTGTGTGCAAGTCTGTTTGCTCATTCTACAGAATCATAGTGTAGGCCTGATGTTTGAGTTCTTTGGGTGGTTTTTTTGAGGCCAGAAACAGTCCTGCCATTGGGCAGGATGAGACAGTTGCCTCAGAAAGCTGATTTGGGATATTCTAAAAGTGCAGCGAATCATTTCTTATGATGGTTGCATTTTTACTTCAAGGGGAGGTGAGATGCGTTTGTAGATTCTGTATGTCTGTCCGGTCAAGCTTCCTAATGAGATAATTTGCAGATGGGGATGCAGGGGATTTTTATATAATGAGCTGGTAGTCCTACTGAGACATTTAGCATTGCAATGGGAAGCAAAAGTATATGCATAAGAACACAAGAAGAGCCACACTGGATCAGACCAAGGGCCCACCTAATCCAGCACTCCATAGACTGGCTGCCCACAGGATCCCTCCAGCAGCGGGTGAGTAAGACCTCTGCCTGCCCAAGTTCCTCAGCAGCTGGTGTATGCAAGCACAGCACCATTGGTTGAAGGAGGTAGAACAGAGCCAGCAGGGTTAGTAGCCACTGGTAGCCTACTGAGTTTAATATGGTGTAAAAAGATTAAGCAGAACAGGAAGCAGTCACAGTCACTGACTGACTCACTGAGAGCCATTTCATCCATCACGTGTGTGTGTTTGCTTGCTAAGTCATGTCCAACCCTTCAGGACCCCATCAACAACATTCCTCCAGGCTATCCTGCCCTCCACCGTCCCTCGGAGTCCATCCAAGCCCACACCAATCACCCCAGTGACCCCATGTAGCCACCTCAACCTCTGCTGTGCCCTTCATTTTTACCTACAAGTTTGTCCCCAACACACACACTTGCATCTGCAAAATCTCTGCTCTTACGGTCATTTACAAACTACAATCACATCTGAGGCAAAGAGAAGAAAAAGCAAATCCAAGGAATGCTTGTGAGCACAATCATAGCAGGCGTGTCCTAGAAGCAGGGGAAAAAAACAGAGTGCCACCAAATAGTCCTTCCACATTAGGCCTGGTTACAGAAATGCTCAACGAAATCATTCCGTGGGCACTTGAGATGTAACCAATCACAGGATCATCCAGTTGCAATGGTTCCAATGGCAGCAGAGCCATTGTTCAAAGTTCTGCTCAAATCAGCTTCTTCAGAGAGAAGGAAAAGAGACTCACACTACCTGGCTTGAAAAATCCAAATCCATAGTCAGTGTTATTTCAAAAGCAAAAAAGGAGTGTTTCTCTCGGATGTTTAGCATTATCCAGACAAGGCAACCATTAAAACGGACTTCTTTCTCAAACCTGTAACACAAAATGCTGATAGGGCTGCAAATGATTTTTTGAAAACCACTCAGAGTCTATGGGAATGGGGTTGTATATAAATATTAAGATAAATTAAAGATAAGATAAATAAAATGATGATATCCAGTACAGGTCCCTTCTAGGGACAAAGAGAAACCCTGGTTTGCATAGACTAGTTGCTGGCACAGAATTCAAAAGAACAATTCAGATTGTGGAACCTCCTGTGGATTTTCCTCTGACTCAATATTTATGCAAAAGTGAAGGAATGTTTTATAAAATGGTCTTCAAGAGGAAATGGTCTTCTATACATCCGTGATGTGCAGAAAAAAGAGGGAGCACATGTCTTTGCCATGGGAGACTCAAAATACAGAAGCAAACATAAACTTGAAAGTGAAAATAATCATATCATTAAAGCTGCTAGACAAATCCCAGCCACATTGGAGCCTGGGATCCTGCTTCATACACTACAACAACAGCCGTTCTACATAGCGGCATTTAAAGAAATCAGCTGTGAAGAAGATAATGGTAGGAGGATACTCCCAAATATTGTGCTCACGCTCATTTGCACTGGAAATAACCTGCACACAGAAAAAAGTGGGGAAGAAATCAATGACTAACTATCTGGAAATATACTGGATCTTGTTAGAATCAAAGTAGAACTCATTGGTACAATCCTAACAGAAAACATTTATAAGGTACTACAAAAGTGGTAGCAATAGTAGGAAGTTGATTTCTTTTCTATGATGAAATATTTTGCAAACATAGCAACATCGGGATCTAGCCCATTAAAGCTGTTGCTAAAATAAAATTGCCCATGATTCAGGTGTGAAAAGACCCTGAGTGTTCTGCACACTGACCTAGCATAACCATCCCTGAACAGACTGGAATTTGCTGCTGAGAAAGCATGACTGGGGTTCTGCTTTAATTGTTATATTCAGAGTCTGTGATGAGAATGATAGAACCTTGATAAAAGTGAAGAAGCGAATCGAAATTAAAAGGAAGAAAAACCCATGCCAGGAGTAAGCTCTTCTGGACCAGATATTCTGCAAAGAGGAATACACACCAGACTATGATCACACCTGATTTCTGTTTCAAACGAAAAACGAATGGGGAAGGATCGCGTGCAGTTCCGCGTCTGAGCCTCACAGTGTCGCTCTTCGCCAAGGTGGGAGCCGCAGACAGGCGGATGAAGGGGATCCACCGGCCGCTTCCCGCAGAGCGGCTGCTTCTCGAG